ACCTTGCTGTTTGAAGAACTCATTGTTTATCAAAAATGCCCTTGTACTTGAAACCTCGAAAGTCAACCTTAAAAGTCAAGTTTTAAAAAATCAAACTTGAAAAGTCAAACTTGAAAAGTCAAACTTGAAAAGTCAAACTTGAAAAGTCAAACTTGAAAAGTCAAACCGAAAAGCTAAAAGTGAAAATTTGAAGGTTAAACGAGAAAGTCAAAGTTTAAAGTCAAAGGTCAAACGGGAAAGTCAAAGTCAAAATTTTAAGATCAAAAGTCAAAAATTAAAAGTCAAAGTTTTGGGTTGAAACTGAAATTTGAAAATTTGAAAAATTAATTTTTGGGAAAAATTTGTCAAAAATCCAAAAATAGGTCGAAATAGCGAAGCTTCTTGAATTCAAAAGGGAAGGTGTTAAACATCTCGCATGCTAGATGAGTTGGAAAGGGCATTGGTTGAGGAGGCAAGAGAATCCGGTTCGAAACCTTGCACTCCCCAATTTCTTTTGAACAGCAGCTGTTGTTCAAGCTTGCTTGTGCTAGAGCCTCGCACCGAAGACGCTTGGACCGAACACGTGTTGGACACCTGCTGGGCTGAAGATCCGAGGGGACCGTAAACGAGGACTGGACCGTACACGTGCTACGACTTCGAACCATAAACTCGCGTGGAACGAACACCTGCTGGCCGAGAACAGTTCGAGGACCGCAAACGTCTGAACCGGCCGTAAACCCTTCTTTGGCAGTAAACCCTTCTTTGGCCGTAAACCACTCGCAGATTACGTGAAAAACAACGTTTTCACCCCTTTTTGCTCCAAAACTCGATCAAAAACTCGTTTTTATGAAAACACGAAGAACAAACCCCTAATATTTTGTCAAAAACTATCCAAAAAACATAAAATCCTTCAAGAAAAAGTGAAAAAACGCTCCAGATCTTGCCAAAATGATTGATACAATCCTAGCTCTGATACCAACTGTAAGTCCCAAATTTTGGTTGATGTATCAATCAGATCCACTTGATGGTGCGGAATCCTAATCAAGTGGATGATGCAAGATCAAATAGAGAAGAAGGAGGAGAAGAAGAAGATGAACTTGATGAATTTATAATGTTTATATGATTATAATGATGTTCCAACACAAGATTCACACACATATATACAAGTTCTCTCACTTCCTCTCTCTAGAACACCTTGATTTACACACACTTAGCACCTACACTTGTGTTCTCTCTTGCCTCACACTTCACCCTTATATATATATATATATATATATATATATATATATATATATATATATATATATATATATATTATATATATATATATATATATATATATATATATATATATATATATATATATATATATATATATATATATATATATATATATATATATATATCTATATATATATCTATATATATGGACCGCAAACCCAAGGCCCAAACAAACAACCGCAAACGGGTTCACGGCCGTGAACACCACCTGAGCCGCAAACTCACACATGAACCGTAAACCCAAGGCTGTTTTTGGTCCTAGACTAAAAACTATTAAAGCCTAGAAAAGTAAAGTATAAACCATATTTTTAGACCCAACATTTTCTGATATGGTGATGGTTATCCTCATCCAATTAAAAGACAATTATCAAATTTTAAGATAATAAGTTGATTATTTTGTATTATTTGATTTGAATTGTCTTGCGATGCAAGTTGAATTAGTTCAAATTAGTAAGAGATAAAATTATATGATTACTTTATTAGTTTAAAATTTGATCCAAATGGCTTTGAAGAGTTACAAAACTTGCCATCAAGTTTTCGAATTCAAAAGGTCTTGAAGAGTTACAAAACTTGTCATCAAGTTTTGGAATCCAAAAGGTTTTGAAGAGTTTCAAAACTTACCCTCATGTTTTGGAATTTAAAAGGTCTCATTTATTAAACATAAAAAATTCTAAAATTCAAGAGTTTTTGAAGAGTTTCAAAACCTGCCCTAAAGTTTTGGAATTTGAAAAGGCTCATTTATGAAACATTAAATTCCAAACCCTATAATTTTAAAAGTTTAAAATTCAACCCTTATACTATTATAATATTAAAGGATTAATACTTATATATATGTATAAGATAAGTCAGTCTTACCGTTAGTAGGCCTCATTCACGAAGCTGGTCTATAAGAGGGGTATAAGGAAATTGCCTATAAAATGGCGATTGAAGGGGTGTCCACTCTCACCCACCGCTTCCTTGACTGGTGGAGGGTCGTTAGCCGAACGGGTAGGATAGGACATTAATTCTTGTTAAAAAGTATAATGATAATTATAAAAGTAACTAAATGTTTTATAAATTCTCAATCTTAGTTACTTTAGGAAAATGTGAAATTGGTGCTATTCCATGAAATTGCACTTTGCACCTTGCCAAGTCGTTAGTGGAGCGTGTGTGGTTAACCGGCACACTAACTTGGAGTAACAAGGATGACAAAGGGTAGCTTGATGTTTCTCATAGATCAATGGAGCGTGTATGGTTAACCGGCACATTGATTAGGTGATAAATGACATCGAGAGTACCAAGCAAATTTGCATGGTTATTCACACCTTGTTTGTGATCCTTGGTATCCCAGTCACAAACTTGAAGGGCATAATCGAGATTTAAACATGCCATTGAAAAGTTAAATGAATCTCAAAGAATCTAGGAATTTCAATTCATTTAAAACCTAATCTTCATTTTCGTTTTTCATGGTGGAAATTGATAAATCGTCATTTACCTACCTTCAAATATTTTGCAATTGGATTACGACATCCCTCTTCCGAATTATAGAATATTGTGTTGGGTCCTAGCCTTAATATTTCATTTGGGTGTTATATTAAGGATCCTTATCTAATCTAAACTTTGTATTTCTTTTCAGATGTCTACCCCAAACGTTGTTGGCTCCAACCCTTCCGACTCTTTCTCCCTCATGAACTTATGTGGGAGGGTGATTTTCGATGGGTCGAATTTCAATGACTGGATTCGAAACATACGGATGGTCATTCATTACGAGGATAAGGAATATGTCCTCGATAAATAGCTAAAGGAGGTTGATGAAGTGACTGCTACTCCTGAAGAAAATTTTTGAATATAGGGCTCATGAGAAGGACGTGACAAAGGTGTCGTGCGTCATGCTTGCCACTATGACAGCTGAACTCCAAAAGTCCTATGAGGACTACTATCCTTTCGAGATGCACCAAGATTTGATGGAAAGGTACCATCAAAGTGCTCGACAGGAAAGTTATGAAATCATTTCCTCCATGATAACAACAAAAATGAAGGATGGAGAGTCCATCACGGGCCACTTACAAAAAATGCAAAGGTTTGTGGACCGCTTGCTGAAGTTGAATGTCAACTTTGATGAAGAGTTACTTTCGACATTATCCTACACTCTTTACCTTCTTGTTATGGTCAGTTTCGTATGACTTATAATATGAACAAGGAGGAAGTGACTCTAAGCAAGCTTCAGGGACTTCTGAGAACTGATGAAAGTAGTTTGAAAGGCAAGTCTGTTGTACCCACTCCTACTACTTCTGCCCCAGTCCTGGCAATTGGACATGGGAAGGGAAAGAAAAGGAAAGTTCCTTCAAAGAATCACAAGGGAAAGTATCGTGATGGATCCTCTTCTAGTGGGTCCAAAGGTGGTTCTGCTGCTCCCTCATCCAATCCAAAGGAAGCAGAGTGCTTCCATTGTCATGAAAAAGGGCACTGGAAACGAAGTTGCCCCAAATACTTGCAGGACATCAAGGATGGGAAGATAAAGCCCACCTTCGCAGGTATTTACACTATTCTATCTAATAACTCATCACATGCTAATTCTTGGGTCCTTGATACAGGATGTGGTTTTCAAATTTGTTCTGATTTGCAGGGTCTAAAAAGAAGTAGAGATGTGGAGCACGGGAAGATGAACCTGATCATGGGGAATAGGAAAGCGTCGTCTGTCACCAAGATTGGAGTTTATTCTTTATTGCTTAATAATGGGTTAGAGTTAGATTTGAATAATTGTTGCTACTCTTCAGATATGGCGAGAAACATTATTTCTTTTCATGGTTTGTATAAAAAAGGTTTTAGATTTTCGTTTAATAATGAAATTGGTTCTATTAATGCTCACTACTAGAAAAACAGCCTTTTACGACGCGCAATGTGTGTCGTAAAACGCTCAGACGACGCGCAAATGCGTGTCAAGGAAGGCCCTGTCATAACGAGAGACGACGCGCAAAATTTACGACGCGCATTTACGACGCGCAATTACGACACGCATTTACGACGCGTGTTTACGACACGCATTGCGTATCAAGGAAGGCCCTGTCATAAAGGAAGATGACACGCATTTGCGTGTCGTAACCTTACGATGCGTATTTACGACTCGCATTGCGTATCATTAAAGCCCCTATCAAGAAAGGTCATGTCATAAATGAAGATGACACACATTTTTGCGTATCATAATTTTAAATGTTTAAAAAAATTATTATTTCTGGATTTACTAATTTTCAAATTAAATTTGTATTTAATGTCTCGTAATAGAAAATAAAATATCATATTCAAAAAATACAATCCATTACATAAAATTTAATGTTATGTCCAACTTAAACTAAACACGATCACTCTTTTCACTTACTGTAGTCCTTTTTTCATGTTTTCCATACATAGAGATCCTTCCTGAGTTTCAGTTTCATACAGATTTATTTAAAGCTGCAGCATGTATCGTGTACACACACATTTCTTTTTCAACAAAAAAGTACATATATATAAAAAAATATTCTTTGAATTTTTTATTTTAGACAAGCTGGACAGGATAGAATAGTAGAACAGGCTGTATTATTGTATTAAGTAAATGAGACAAAAATTGCATCTTTTTGTCCTACCAAAGAAGGCAGGAGACTAGTTGGTTTGAGAAAAAGATTCAGAAAGATGTATTGCTCTGTCGGAAGAGAGGGAAATATTTTCACAACTACAAATGGTCAAGATGAATTCTAATAGTTGAAATCACACGTGTTGGTAACTTACTTGGTCTCCAATGTGACCACAAAAGCTTGTAGCCAGACACAGCCAGAAAGTGCCACCATTGATACCTCCTCCAACCCACTTTTCTCAAAGGCATATGAATGTATAGTTATCACAAAAACAACAATCGCCTGAAAAAAGTAATAATCACCACTATAAATATTAGGGAAATATGGAGTAGCCATATATAGATATAGCAATGGATAAGAAACAAATATTGATGCCATGGTCGTGTCGACGAAATCAAATAAGCTTCTTAACTGTGAAGATGAGAAAAGCATTTCATAAAGTTTTTTTTTTTTTTTTAAGTTAATACCTGTAATAATTTTTCATATTATCCGCTCAGTTAACACTTGGGTATGATAATTCATGAATTTTCAATTTTTGTAAGTGCATCCATCCATCTCTTTTGCATATTCTTCAGCATCCTTGTGCTTCCAACTTCACAATCACCAACTGCAAAACCTCATCACAATATGCAGTCAGAAACAACAAAATCTCACCTCGTCCAATTTAACATCTACACACTTATCCACAGAAAAAAAAATGAAAACCCTAACTCTTAACATTTGCGAGGTGGGAGCTGAGGTTTCTTCAAGTCCTCTTCAGATAACATGCTGTCCTCATCAATAAAATCCATGTCATCAACAATCAGCAATCCATGTCATCATCCTTGTGCCTAATGTTTTGTTTGTTTAAGACAATTTCCTTTCTGTAAAAATTAAAAGGTTATCATTTTGTTAACAAGTCAAGAGAAGTGAACCTTTTCTCTTACTATTTTCTCATTTTAATTGAAGAGAGAGAATCAAGATTTTTTTTTGTTTTCTTTTTTTAAGTGGATGGAATAATGGATCAAAAACCATTAAAAAATAAAAATCTAACATGTAGTCCCATTTTTTCGATTTAAATTTAGTACTTTATAGTTTGAAAGTGATAGCCATAATTTCTATGACTGGTCTGGTAGATATTCCCAAGTAAATGAAAGTATATTGAACCTTTGCGTGAGGGTTTAATGTTGATTTGTCGGAGGTGAGAGATCCCATTGATGAGGTTGGTGATAATCCAGGTCCAGGAGCAGTTTCAGTTGCAGGGGCAGGAGAAGCATTTCCAGATTCTGAAGTGGATGATGCAGAAGCAGAAGCAGAAGTAGCAGGACGTGCACGAGGGACTCCAACTCCAGGTTGCGATACCTGACTACAGCTTGTTGTCTTATCCTCCTGGGCTAGCGGCGCAGCTTGTTTCCCGTTTGCCTTCAATCGATATGTATTGAATATTAGACATGACTAGAAACACAATATTATTTAGGAGGGGCATATGCAGTTGCAGTCGCGTTCAGCCCTTTATCACCACTTTCACTTTCTTTTTCTTTATTTGACCACTTTGTACCAGGGAAGGGAAGAAACATAACTATTAACTATTAACTATTACAAAAAGGTAAACTTAAACAAGATTTAGATTTATGGATTGCTGCAAAAGACTAACCCTCAGATTTTGAACCATGCCTACTTTCTTCATACAACTGCATTATTATTGGTTAGTCAATAACTAGTATATTACTTACAACAAAACAAGAGACAATAACATACACACAGACATCTAAACAATGAGTTAGGTGGTGAAAAACTAAATCTACCATGTGCTTCTCTGTATCCGCATCATGTTGTTGATTATCTTGAATCCTGAAACAACAAAAACTTAGTCACAAACACCGGTACATACATATAAATATAATAATGACACGATTTACAGCATTTTTTACCTCATCTCTACATCTAAAGAACCAAATGGATACAACTCATTTTCATTCACAACATCTCCAAAGGTTTCACTATTTTGTGAATCAAAAACGTCCTCACTTTCATCATAACCACTATCATCAACCCCCCCCCCATGGAAAACTGATGAATCTTTAGTTTCTTCATCCATATCAAACTTATCATGGAAATGAGTGCCTCTTTCCTGATTAAAACAGCAAGTAAAAACCCATAAGAAAGAATTTACAAGATCAATTTACATACAAAGATAGCATCTACACTCTGATTATCCGACATTCAAAAAGGATTAAACGACACCAACACTAAAAGAAGACTCAAAGAAAACCACAGATAGATCGTACCTCAAGAACTGAAAAATAAAGTAGATCGAGGAGAAATGGTTGATCAATGAACATATTCGGCACAAAAATACCTAATTTAATGAGTTGATTGACTTTCAGATTATTCGAATTAACCTACCTAGGGAGAAAAAGAATATACCTGTGTAAGATAAACCCTAAATAGTAATCCTATAAATCGCGAGAGAGTTAACAGTGACAGAAATGGCGAGGGGGCGAGAGGTGGCGGAAATAGCAAGTCAATTTCTTGAGCACAACACCGATCGAGTAATCCTAATCATAGGTCATTTTCGTTTTCTTTTTCGTGAGGGTTAGCAAATCGGTTTCCTTGAGGATGGGGTGAGAGAGCTGCAAATGGTGATGGTGGATGAAGTGTTGGTCGATACGGTCAGTACATCGTCGTCGTGCGAGGCCTGAAGAGTCGGTGTGGGTTGGAGGTAGTTGAGGTGGGTATCAGGCGGGGTTTTAGGGTTTCTTATGATCGATGAAGATTTTAGGAACTTCAAGTATGAAATTATCGATCTTTTACACACAATGCTTTTAGGGTTTCTTTTGATTGAAGAGGATTTTACAACATACGAAGAAGAAGGAGGAGGAGAGTATCAAGGCGGGGTTTTTTAATTTTTGGATTTCATTCCCCCCTCGGCAATTAAAAAATTGGAGAACGCGCGTTCATAAACAAAAATATAAAGCGACAGTTTTAGACGACACGCTTTTTTATGATAGGTGCCCTCCGTGTTTTTAATTTTTTTGTTGGACACTAATTTTAGGGCACGCACAAATATGTGTCCTCTATCCTTCAAATTTCGCAAAACTGACATTATTTTTTATGGCACGTACAAATGCGCTTCCTCTATCAGCGAGTGTCATTGTTTGCGCGCCATTAAAGGGCTGTTTTCTAGTAGTGGCTTTTTATAATGGTACTCTTTATTTTGAAGCATTGCCTTGTAATGGTATATATGAAACTGTGATGGTTGTAGACAACTTAGGAAATAATGTATTGCATATTGATTCGTCCAATGGTTTGGACAAAGCATGATTGTGGCATTGTCGTCTTGGATATGTCAACAAGAAGCGCATAGCCCAACTCCAAAAGGATGGAGTGTTGGAGTCATTTGACTTAAAGTCGGATGACACGTGCGAATCTTGTTTGCTTGGAAAGATGATCAAGTCGCCTTTCACTGGTACTTGTGAAAGAGGTGAGGGTTTGTTGGATCTCATACACACCGATGTGTGTGGACCCTTCAAACGCGCCACAAGGGATGCTAACCGCTTTTATGTGACTTTTACCGATGATTATAGCAGATATGGGTATGTCTACTTGATCAAGCATAATTCAGAAACCTTTGAAAAGTTCAAAGAGTTTAAGCAAGAAGTGGAGAATCAGTTGGGCAGGAAGATAAAGATGCTCTGATCTGATCGAGGTGGTGAGTATCTTAGTATCGAGTTCCACGACTATCTTAAGGAATGTGGAATTGTTTCACAATTGACGCCGCCTAGGACACCGCATCTTAATGGTGTGGCTGAGAGGTGCAATCGAACCTTGTTGGATATGGTCTGTTCCATGATGAGTCGAGCTTCGTTACCTATCTCATTATGGGGGTATTCCTTAAAGATTGTCGCCCATATCCTTAATCTAGTCCCAACTAAGAAGGTTACCAAAACACCTCACCAAAAGTGGATAGGGAATGTTCTCTCGTTAGCGCATATCAAGGTTTGGGGTTGCGAGGCTTTAGTAAGACAAGAGACTCATGACAAGCTCGAACCTCGTAGTGAGCGTTGTATTTTCATCGGCTACCCACATAAATCCTTTGGATATATCTTCTATAGACTGAGTGACAATGTTGTCTTCGTTGCGAGGATAGGGGTTTTCCGTGAAAGAGAACTCATATGCCAAGAGGACAGTGGAGGCAAATTGACCTTGAAGAGCTTCAAGAGTTAAGTGATGAAGGAACCTCAAACACTAGCACTCAACCTGAGGAGGAAACTCCTGTTGAACCAGTTGACGAGTCCTTACCTCTGAGACGTTCCAGTAGAGTTAGAATGACACCTGAGTTTTATGGTTTCCATATTACTATAGATGGTGATACGTTTATCAGTGATAGTACACTGGTAAATTTAGACGAGCCTAATAACTACAAGGAAGCCATGGCGGGCCCCGATTCTGCAAAATGGAAAGAGGCTATGGACAGCGAGATTCAGTCCATGTATGACAATCAAGTTTGGAACTTGTTTGACAATGTACCTGCTCGTAAGACGGTTGGGTGCAAATGGATCTTCAAGAAGAAGACCGACATGGATGGGAAAGTACACACATATAAGGTGCGATTGGTTGCGAAGGGATTTACTCAAACTCCTGGAGTTGACTATGACAAGACCTTCTCACCAGTGGCCAAAATCAAGTCTATAAGGGTTATGCTAGCCATAGCTGCATTTCATGATTATGAAATATGACAAATGGATGTCAAAACCACTTTACTAAATGGGAAGTTGGCTAAAGATGTTTACATGAGTCAACCAGAAGGTTTTGTCGATGCGAAGTACCCTAATAGAGTGTGTAAGCTTGAGAAATCCATTTATGGATTGAAACAAGCATCTCGCAGATGGAATCTTTGTTTCGATGAGAAAGTCAAAGAATTTGGCTTTTCGAGAAGCGAGGATGAGTCTTTCGTATATGTCAAAGCTAGTGGGAGTATAGTTAGCTTTCTGGTGTTATATGTAGATGACATACTTCTCATAGGAAACGACATTCCAACCTTGCAGGAGGTTAAGTCCTGGCTTGGAAAGTGTTTCTCTATGAAGGACCTCGGGGAAGCTGCTTACATTCTAGGGATAAGGATATTGAGAAATAGGAGTAAAAGACTAATTGGACTTAGTCAAAGTACCTACTTAGACAAGGTGTTGAAACGTTTCAGCATGGAGAATTCCAAGAAATGAGAGTTGTCTATCCAGAGCAATACCAAACTGAGTAAGACTCAGAGCCCGAGTACCGATGCTGAAATAGCAGAAATGAGTCGAGTACCATATGCTTCCGCAGTTGGTGCGATCATGTATGCTATGACATGTACTCGCCCTGATGTGGTTTTTGCTTTGAGCATGGTTAGTCGATATCAAGGGAATCCTGGTAGAGCTCACTGGATAGCAGTAAAGAACATTCTTAAGTACTTGCGGAGGACTAAGGACTGGGTCTGTACCCTCTGTGGGAGTGATGACTTGAGAGTGACAGGGTATAGTGAAGCCAGCTTTCAGACCGACAGAGATAATTTCCGCTCTCAGTCGGGCTGGGTATTTACCCTAAATGGAGGAGCAGTAACTTGGAAAAGTTCCAAACAGGAGACTGTAGCTGATTCAACGTGCAAAGTAGAGTACATAGCAGCAAGTGAAGCGTCGAAGGAGGAGATATGGCTAAAGAACTTCATCGGAGACCTTGGAGTTGTACCAGCTGTAAAGGAGCCTATGGATATTTTCTGCGACAACGAGGGTGCAGTCGCCTTAACCAAGGAACCGAGAGATCATGGCAGATCCAGGCACATCGACAGAAAATATCACTTCATAAGACATCGAGTAGAAAAGGGACTCCTCGTAGTAAGGAGTGTATCGTCAGAGGATAAACCAGCAGATCCCCTTACGAAGGGACTGAGTAGGGTTACGCATTTTCAGCATGCTAAGAGCATTGGCCTAAGGGACGATATTAGTTTTAGTGATTAGATAGACAGTTAGAAACTTGTAATAAATAAATGTAATTGACATTTGATGAATAAATAAATGTAATTGACATTTGATGAATAAATAATAAAGTTTTATTTATAAGTAAAGTTTACAGTCTTTTATCAATTGTTTACTTTATGTTTCACTTTTGCATGTTTTGACTTCTAGAATAATGAGATTATTCAAACCATCCACCGTCGATCATACTATGGAAGTAGGTTATGAGGTTAGGCTATCATGAATTGGCTTGTAGATTGTCTAAGGTGTTTAGACATAGCAAAAGTTTGTTACAACATTCATGAGTGCTCTTGAAATAAGATTTGAGTATTGGATTAAACCCACGCTCACATGAATCACTTCATGGAATTTATCACGAGTGATTGTGAGGCGATAATATCGTATAGTCTTCAAACCAAGATATATGAGTTGTTGATTACGAATTGGTTGTGCATTGATAGTACAAAAAAGCATCAGTAACTTGATGTTATAAAACGTGTTGTTGTGTATAATTTAACAAGTAATTAGTACAAGCATATAAGTCGAAGTTTATCTGTTCCATTTATCCTAAGAGGAATAAAACCGATATCTTGGGCCCCTCGATGATTTTGTTTTGACTTATGTGTCGGGCCCGGTCAGGACTAAATTGATGTGTTCAATTAAGTTCTATGTCAAACAAATCAGAAATCGGGAAACAAACTGCTGGACAATAAGTATGACTATGTTCCATGTATTTGTCCACACGATATCTTTAAAAACAGTGGATTATATGATCCTTTATCTAAAGGACACGTCGGAGTTCGACGGTGGCTTTTAAGAGCTACGATTGCTAATCGGATTTTGAAGTTACATTGACAGTTATAGTTATTAGACTTATCCAAGTAGGATACTGTTGGATTAGGTGTCTAAGCCCATAACTATAATTGGTATGTACTTGACCCGATAGTAGCATGGTCCATTTGGGTTGCCTTCACCGGAGCAATTTGATAGGATGGATATTTGAGAAAGAGGTTATTTGTGATTTATTAATATATTATAAGTATAATATATTAATTGAGAAATCATATTATTTAATTGGTATTGATCAAGAATTAATTTGGAGTTAATTTAGTGATCAAAAGAGACTAATTAAATTAATGGGGATTGATTATGTAAACCAGTGATACATATAGTTTGGGCTAATGATCCATGATTGATTAGTGATGGACTAAGCTTATGTGAGAGTCCATGAAGTGTTAGTCCAAATGAGTTATTGGATCAAAAGCCAAAGTGAATGGATTAGGGTTATGAAGTGACCCTTGGAATTCTACACTATATATGTAACCCCTAAGCCCTTAAAATCGACACACAAG